GACAGCAGACTCCTCCAGCCCTTTTATCTGGCTCCACAATACAAACGTCGTGTCTCCTCAGGATGAGCTCCCGTGCGTGGGGCTGCGGGCGTCCCTGGCCCAGCTGGGGCCGGCGGGAGCAGAAGGGCACGAGGAAAGGGGATGGGAGCCGTGCCGAGGGTTTCCCCTCCGCGCGCAGTCCCCAGTATTGGGACCCTTTGGGCACTTTAGGTTTTTTCTTTAACTTCAGCGTTGCACAAACGTGCTCACCCTCTGTATAGACATGCTGCTCTGCTGGGATATGTGCTTAACGCCGAGGCTCCTGGTTGAGGAGTGCCGGATCCTGCCGGATGGGGCCCTTCGTCCTCGCTCTTCTCACCTTACAAGTGCCGGCTTACTATTTTTATTAATGGCCCCACAGCACTCAGCAGCCACGAACCATTCCTCCTTCGGCTCGTAAGCCAAAGTGCTTGTAACCTGCAAAGACCTGGGGCTATAGCAGGCTCTGGCCTGGATTTGGGTGAAACCTTTCTCTCTTCTGCCCCAACCACACGGTCGGTTGGGCAGTTTAGTTTGTGAGAGCTGGGGTGGTCCCCGAGACTTCCCAGGGGTTTGTGTGACAGCCCTGGGGAGGTTTCCTCCAGGCAGGAGCTTAGCGGTGACCTGCTAAGTATGCAGATGAGAGGAGCTCTCTTCAGGCTGCTTTTGGAATGCAAGTCAGCCACTGAGTCTAATTTCTTAATCCTTCCCTTGCAGCTAATTACGATGCAGCCTGACTCGGTTTTTTCTCTTTTCCTCTCTCTTCTGTTGGCGCAGGGTGCGGGTGTGATCGCCACGGGAGGGGGCAGGCGCCAGGCTCGGTGTCAGTGCCCTGGTTAAATGCAAAGCTTGCGGTGGCCGGGCCTTCCCAGTGTGATCCCAGCGTGATCCGCTCCCAGCGCTTGCAGCTCGGTGCATTAGCATAGGTGCGTGTGTCATTCCCGCATGGTGATTCCCGCTGAACCTCCCCAAGGCTCCAAGCACAACCTGCCCCTTCCAGTCCTGCCGCCCCCGGGCAGAGGGGGCTTGGAGAGGGGCAGGGCTGGCTGGAGGACATGGAGCGTCCCTGCCTTCGTGAGCAGTTCTCTGGTCCCCTCTAATTTCCCCCAGCCTGCAGAGCAGCATGCACCTTCCCAGGGGTTAAACCCTGCACTGCCAGTGCACGTCGCCCGGGGTTTCTGCAGGGACGGATTGCTGGTGATGTGCTGCGGGTGCGTAAGGAGTGGGTCCGGCTCTTTGGACTGAAGCATTTGGGAAGCTGGGGATGGGAAAGAGATTTTGGGCCCAAGGTCGGGGAGGGATGTGATTTTCTCGTGCCTCCTTCAGACGCCACAGCAGGCGTTTCATGGCGTCATCCTGGGCGATTCCCAGGCTCAGCTGTAATCTCCTTTTGAAACTCAAGGATGCAAAAGCATAGTTTTACTTGCAGGACTGCATCCTTTTTTCTTGGGGCAGAAAGCAGCCTGCTTTACTGCAGGATTTCAGCTCTGTTTGCTGAGTGATGGCTGGCAGCTTCTCCTGCTGCCGGTGCCAGCATTGGCTCTTGGAGTTATGTGGCAAAGGCTCCTTTGTCAAACAGGCTGGGACGGGGCCAGCCCGGCGCCAGGTGCCAGGCGCGCAGGTCGTGCTTGCCCGGACCTCCGAGAGCTCGGCTTGGCACGTTCCAGCTGCTGATCAGATTATTTGGGAGCTGGTGAGCATGCCCAGGTGAAATCCAGAGTAGAGTTTCTGCCCTGAAGAATTTATAATCTAAAATAAAACCAGTATGTGTATACAACTCCGTCAAAAATCCCCTTTGCCTGGGGTGGTGGCACAGCGAGAAAGCCCAGCGCGGGAGGGATGGATGGCCGGGGCGGGAGCCTTGCTGCCCGGCGGGGTGGGTAAGGCAGAGCAGTTCATCGTCTTGCACGAGGTCCCTGCGTGCAGCCACCGGCCCTTGCCGGGGCATCGGTGTGACAGTCCAGTATGTGTATACAACTCCGTCAAAAATCCCCTTTGCCTGGGGTGGTGGCACAGCGAGAAAGCCCAGCGCGGGAGGGATGGATGGCCGGGGCGGGAGCCTTGCTGCCCGGCGGGGTGGGTAAGGCAGAGCAGTTCATCGTCTTGCACGAGGTCCCTGCGTGCAGCCACCGGCCCTTGCCGGGGCATCGGTGTGACAGTTGGCT